TAGGGAGGAAGACGGGGTAAATACAAATAATGGGGGGGAAAAGTTACGGGGAATATATAAATATATTCCCTTAGTGATTTCACCTTTTTTTATTTAAATTATTCTTTAAGTGCCGTTTTCTCAGTCTTCCTTATTGCTTTCTTCCATAGCACTAGTGTTATTCTTAGAGTATCACTCTTACCTTTCCCCTTATTTTTACAGTCTTCCCTGTCTGATTATGTATCTTCTGTGATTTAACTCCTTTTCTTTTCCCCCTTCCTCTCCTAGTCCTTATCCTTTTTTTCTTTGGTGAATTTCCGTCTTCTCTTACTTTCTTACATCCTATTCATGATCCTTGTGTGTAGATTATTTTCTTATTTTAGATTCACTTCTATTTGAAGTGCCTATTTAATATTTTTTCTTGTGATCTAGTTATATTTGTTTATTTGCCCTAAATTTCTTTTAGTTTTTTAGTTTCTCCCACAGATCCCCTATCCAATATAGATTATAGAATACAAAGAATATATAAGGAATAAAGTAAACCAAAAAAAAAAAAATTCCTTCCCATCTATTCCCATTTATGCTGTGTCTTCCTTAAATACTTTGGAAATCTGTTACTTTACATGGAACTATTATAGTTCTCTCTGTATATTATACTTTCCTTCAGTGGAACCCATTACCTAAGGAAGAATCTTCTATAGCCAATACAATGTATAAGAAGGCATATATTATTCTGACTTTAATTAGCCAGCCTTAATAGGGTTCACACATTGGAGTGAACATCTAGCATAGAAACTCAAGCATCTCCCAGTATTCTGCAGACTTATGCATGTATTAACTCTTTGGCAACCTCTTTACTTTAGCCATGTTTTAATAAAGCCTTTATCAGAGAAGATAGCTTTAAGTTAATCTTTAGTCAGAGAAAAGCTGATTAGCTTCTATAGTCACTCTGATCATATACAACTCTTCTCCTTGATTTGAGTTACGTGTATACTAACCAACTGCTTTCTATAAGATTTAAGCATATTTTAACTCATTGGTAAACCTCAATACTTCGGCTATATTTGAATAAAGTCTACATAAGAGAGGACGGCCTTTAGTTAATTTTTAGTCAGAGATAAGCTAATTAACATTTGTATTCTCTCTGATCACATTAAACCCATTTTTTTTTTTACTTTGGTTTGCGATAGATGTATACCTGTCAATTGCTCTTTAAGCATATCCAGCTTTTATCCACGTTCAAGACAAGTAACTTTCTTTTTTGTTTTGAATGAGGATGTTTTGTTCCATTTCATATCAAACACCACTGGAGTGTCTTCCTGGTGATTATAATCAGGGTGAGAGGTTCTGCAGGAGCGAACAACTCCCAACTGGATATTTTTATATTAATCATTATTTAAAGCATTGGCAGTATTGCTTTAACATACTCTACCTCAACAAATACAGCAAAAGGAATAGTTAAGAGCTGCAGCAAGTACATATACATAAACTAAAAGGTTAAACTTGAAAACACATAATTTAGTGAATATCCTTTTTACGATATCATTCTATAAATAATACACTTTACTTACTTTTTAATATCCAGTGATCAGATGAAATCTTGCCAGCTATGCCAGTTGTATAAAGTGTGATAAAATATTGATTTGAATAAAGAACGCAAATACTCATTAAAAAAAAATCAACAAAAATAATAAGCAATGAAAAATAAAATCTCTCTGGTTATCTGATAAAATTCAATCTTTCTTCATAAAAATTTTTACTTCATCACAACGTCTATTATACTTAATTTTGGTATATAGCGAACTCACATTACAGGTTAACAAAATAACTTTTATTTGTTTCAAATGCTTAAAATACCCCCCCGTGTCTCTTAAATAGAATTTAATTTTTTTCATCATTGATTGTAATAAAATATCTTTATTTTCAGAAAGATTCGATGTAATTGAGCCAATGTCAGATATTATCAGATGCCCAGGGGTATTTCTAGGATCCTTATGAATTTTAGGTAGAATATAGAATGTTGGAATTTTAGGGGGTTGTATTAATATATGTTTATATTCACCCTAATTTAAAAAAAAACATTTAAAATCATAGCTCTATCTAATAATTTAAAAATAAATATTTTTATATATCCATATTTTATATCCAGCTTCCATTAAACATACATTTTCTAACTGCTTAAAAAACTCTAATTTGTGTTATTTCAATGTTAAAATCACAACTTGTTCCTCTTATGTCCACCAATTCAATGACTATAGACTAGAGTTGTCATTCTGTAATTCTTTAATTGCTTGTCTGTCGTTTTTTTGTAACATTTTGTATTCTCTTCCTTTTAAAATTTTTATTTTTCAAATATATACATTTCATGAGATTTTAATGGATGTGGATAAAAATTTGATTTTTTTTTGTCAATCTTTCTTTTATTATGGCATGTGATTCATGGTTTACAGAATATAAAGAGGAGTTAGAGAAGATAGACATAAAAGTAGGTGCATTAACAATCAACGGTATAAACTCCTATGCTAGGCTGACATATTTTTGTAATAATAAAGGACAAGAAAGAACATACTAGTTATGCGAGGGACATCCGTTATGGAGTTAACGTGCTATAGATATGGTATGTCAGCCTAGGTATGCATGAAATATTGAATTCAAGATTATTAGGCTAACATCGAGGTGCATCAGGGTAGAGTCACAGGAAAAGCGTAACATAGGATAGTCAGTTTATGTCAATTTGGCAAGCTTAACTACCAAGATGCAGTATGTGTGTGTTGGTTCAGCTGATATAACCACAGGGAGCAAAATCAAGAAAGGATTCATATCCATATCTGAACGAACTACAAACCAAATGACCGGTTTGCACAACTTGGTAAACAGTGGCGGCTCTAGATTTGGCGAGGCCTTAGGCGAAACTCATACATGAGGCCCCCACTAACACCATTATTGGAAAAAAACAGCAGTTGACTTGTGTGTGTATAAGAAGCTGTAGATAAATTGAAGGGCGGGCTTGCAGTATTGGATATAGAGAACTAATCTTTGTATACGTCGTTGCATTGTCTACCTGTGTGTGCCTGGCAGTGAGTATCTTTGTATATGTATGCATGTTTCTCTGAGCATGTGTATGTTTGTGTTACTGCCTGTGGCCTTTGGCATTAGAGGACCACTATAGTGCCAGGAAAACATACTCGTTTTCCTGGCACTATAGTGCCCTGAGGGTGCCCCCACCCTCAGGGTCCCCCTCCCGCCCGGCTCTGGAAAGGGGAAAAGGGATTAAACTTACCTTTTTCCAGCGCTGGGCGGGGAGCTCTCCTCCTCCGATCCTCCTCCTGGGCTGAATGCGCACGCGCGGCAAGAGTTGCGCGCGCATTCAGCCCGTCGCATAGGAAAGCATTTACAATGCTTTCCTATGGACGCTTGCGTGCTCTCACTGTGAAAATCACAGTGAGAAGCACGCAAGCGCCTCTAGTGGCTGTCAATGAGACAGCCACTAGAGGATTAGGGGGAAGGCTTAACCTATTCATAATTATAGCAGTTTCTCTGAAACTGCTATAATTATGAAAAAATGGGTTAACCCTAGAAGGACCTGGCACCCAGACCACTTCATTAAGCTGAAGTGGTCTGGGTGCCTAGAGTGGTCCTTTAAGTTCATGGCGAAGCTATGTTTTATGACAGTGTGTAGAATGATTGCCTTCAGGGGGTGACAGGGTGAGTAAAAGAGTAACTGTGGCAGGGTGAGTGTAAAAAGAGCAGGAGGGTGCCAGAGTGCGGAGAGTGGTGCCCGTGTGTTTAGAGGGAGAGATAGTGTGTATGGAGGGGGGTGACAGTGTGTGCGGAGAGAGGTGACAGAGTGTGTGGGGGTGACATAGTGTGAGGGGGTGGCATAGTGTGAGGGGGTGGCATAGTAAGAAGGGGTGACAGTGTGAGAGGGTTACATTAGTGTTAGGGGGGTGACAGAGTAAGAGGGGGTGACAGAGTAAAAGGGAAGAGACAGAGGGG